ATAATATTATATTTTTTTATTTACTTTTTATAATTATACAAAATATTATATTTAACGGTAATAATATGTTTGTGCGATATTAAAATAATACCGGTAGAATTTTTCTTTTTAAATGATACGTATATTTTATAGATAATACGTGTATATTATAAATATTTAAAAAAAATGAGAGTTGCAGTTTTCCGTCTATATATCCAGCCACAAAATGTAATATCAATAAAAAAAAGCTTTTAGCTTTGCGACATCATTCTTATGATGTTGATATTTTTGCATAAACCATGGTTTCAATCAGGATCGAATTAAATAGGATTGTAGAACGAAACACACCTGGAAGGTATTGGTCCAGATCCGTGTATGCGATTTCCACCATTTTCCATTCCATTTTCCTCTCGATTTTTCTATAGAAAGCAAGTATTATCAGCAAATTTGCATCTTCTTTGTATATGTTACATTCTATTTGCATTTAAAGCGCAATTGTGTAAAAAATATATAAAATATTTTAATAATATTAAATTTTTATTTTTACAAGAACATCTATATTTTTACAAAGAATCATCTATATATTGGGATGTATTTTGCTAAAAAAATATTTACTTTACTGCAAGATATGACGAATGAATTTCAAATAATAAAACTTAATCATTGTTGCTATTAACAAATGCGTGTCTGTACACGTAAAAATAATATAAATGTGGTTATACGTTATACAATAAAATTTTAGTTATTATAAAGAAAAATTTTTCAGAAACGTTTTTGTACTTTGTAGGGAAGATTTAAATCTATGCAAAGCTTGTCCAGAAGAATGGAATATGAAATATCCTTGGATAAGGCATGAATACCGGAAAAGACATGAATAAATCCACGGATGAACCTAGCAAACTTTTAAGCAAGTTTTTAACGAGCTAACGCCGGTATATTCATCGAGGCGATAAACGAAGTATTACGATCCAAACTTGGTTCATATAGGAATAAGATGCGACAATTTACTTGAATTTTCTGCTTCACGAGTGAACTTTGCCGTCACTTTGATGGATTATTCGCCGGTGTTCGCGTTTTCTGTTCATTCTTATAAAAAAAATCATCTGGAAATCGTACGTTTGTTTAATGAGATAATTCTCACGGATATTTTCGCATTTCGATCAAGAAATGAATGGCATTACTTTCCGCGAGAGTTGAAGTTTTAACGTTACTTTATATTAAATGTAGAATTCTAATAATATTATAGAAACTATATTGACAGCTATATTAAATTATATGAAAATTTTCTGTTGAAATTTTATATAAAAATTATTTAAAAAAATATTGATTTAAGCCATATAATTTTTGTAATAATTTTACATGACAAATAAAAAAAAGTATACAATATTTTAAATTAATACTAAAATATCTACTTATAATTAGTTCAATCTAGATTTATTCCACGCAAAAGGCATTTACTATCTTACAATTTAAATTATAGTGCTACTGCTGCAGTATAAATCGCCTGTAATTCAATTTCCGCCTTCAATGTCATTAATTAGTTCGCACCGACGAGGATAAAGTACATAGTGCTATGGCAAATAAATGAGGATAGATCGTGTTTATGGTCTTATTTCGGCACTGCTGTTTTTAGTAGTAAAGTAGAGGATTAAACGTAGCAAGATTCAAAAAATATTTTTTATTATAAATTACGAAGTATAATATCAACGATGAGAAAAAATTAAGCTATTCAAAAGCATATTTTAAGCGATGATGGATTCTCACTTACCTTGGGTGGCACGATAAGAAAAGTTTCTATTTTGTGCTGAGAGAGATAACTTTCCCGAGATCCTCCATTGCCTGGCTCGACCTCAAATCGATCGCCCAGTTGTAATAGAGTAGCTTTCGTTATATGAACTCTCCTTAAGATTAAAAATTATTGCTTTTAGCGTAATCTAGATAAATAATTGCTTTGTAATTATATTTATACACAATAATCAATCATTATCTTGTGGAAGAAAACGTTGTTATAAATTATTATAAAATTATTATGAGTTTTTTTTTCCAACAATGAACAACTTCTGATTAAGAAACTCCATTTTCAAAATTGTTTCAGAAAAATATTCCTAATGCCAATGTTAAGCACTCTATCTTGTATACATATAGCATTATGTATAAGTCTACCGAGATGCCATACAGGTCGAGAATAATGTAAGTCGAGAATAATACAAGTCGAGAAGTCTCTGCGATAGCGATGAATCGTCTTACCCAGGTAGACCGCCGCTCTCCATGTGATTTGCCAGCGTCACGTCGTCACTCCACACGTCGAATTGCCATTTCCGCAGTCCTAGAACTCCGCATAGTACGTTCCCCGTGTGAATCCCTATCCTCATGTCGACGTTGAAGCCGGTGGCCTCGCGTACAAACCTACGTGCGAAGAGATCTAATTCGCGAATATTGCTCCGTCCTGCACTTACGCGAGCACTTATCACGCTCACTACTCTCATTGGATTTGACGATTGCCCGAATCCCGAACACAAGTTTTGTTTATTTAATACGCGATTCACGTTCGGAAATATTCAAGATAAACAAAAGTTTAAGTCTTCGGCTCTTTTCTGTGTTTAAAATTTAATTGTTACAAGAACTTTTATCTAATGTATAAAATAGAAAAACGATAGATTCCATATAGATTTGGGATGAGAATTAGTTGAAATCTAATTAAGCTTGAAATCTATAGCAAAAAGATTACCCGTCTTTCATCAATTAATTACTGATTTCGATAGAAATTCTTAATCACGCGTTGTGATGTATAATGTGGCAAAAAATATATTGATTTTTATTTATTATAAACATATATATATATAGTTATTTTCATATATATATTTATATTAACCATATATTATCAACCATATACTTCGAGATGATTATAAAGAAAAAATTGTTTATTTGATGCACTAGAGCTTGTTACTAAAATATAATTCATATCATCAAATATTCAATAGCACTCATTAGAAGAAAATGCAAAATTTTTTACGAATAAATAAGCTATTGAAATTATGAAGAGATAAAGAGAGAGAGAGAGAGAGAGAGAGATAGGAGGAGACAACAGCGGTCACCGGTCCTTCGATTTGCACTGTTCCATAATTAATATATACGTAATTAAGCGACATTGTATGAATCATATAATCAGAGATGTGCGTGATAAATTATCGTATTTTGATTTGTGAACACCGCCGTCGGCAATATACAAGTGTAATTAATAAAGCGCAATATGCGATTAATTATAGACATACAGCGCGTTGGGATATCAATTATCATTCGTGAGGAATACAAATAGTTACAGCTGTATAACACTAAACCTTGTAAGGATTTAATGTGTGTGTACATTCTATTGCTTAATGTTTTAAGTGTTTTCCTACGAAAGTGACGATGTCAGAAAATTATTCTAAATTTTGAGAATAAATATTATGCACATTATAAAATTTAATTGTTTCATTATTTTGTTTCAGTTATAAAATTAAATAGTCTTCGTAAATATATA